TATCTAGTGACTTTCTTAGCTAGTAGTTTGAATGTTACAGAAGTCCTATCCCAAACAATCTCTTATTGTTGAGGACTTTTATATCGATAAGATTTCATATCTTAATGAGTTTTGCACAACATAAAACACTAATGCAGTGTTTGATAAGAATTTGATAACTATCATACACATAATAATTTATAATTATGCCACGTAGCAGTGGCGGGACCCACATAATTCTGGTAGTTATTTTTATTCCCTCTCACTAGACAATAAAAAAGGCATATAAATTTGGACACTTTAGATATAAAATTATATTTTAGACTTTGAAAAGATTGATCCAATTATCATTTTTTTTTGTTTAAAAGGCGGATTGGCCGGGCTAATGACCACCACTAAGTGTTATATGAGAGATATTTTAGTATGAAAAATGATATATAAGCTCAATTTCTAAACCCAGTTTCTATATTCAATGATGTGTAAATGATATGATTAGTTGATGATTTCGGAAGATATGAGAGAGAGAGAGAGAGAGAGAGTTGTCTTAGATATCTTAATTGATTACCACATGAACTTGAAAAGTGAGTCTAACTTTTGAATTTGAATAGTAATGCTCTTTTGATATATGGTAATTTATAAATAGTTCTCCTTATAACTCTGAGGGGGAATATCAAAAAAGTGGAGAATAAAAATATAATTTTAAAATAATGAAGGTATAAATAATTTATGCATTAGAATATGTAAATAAATCTTATACCTTCATTATTTTATTTTTTTTACTTTTCGCTTTTTGTGAAATTATAGGATTGGACTGGACCAATATTTTCAGCCCGATATATCAATGAACTAGGCTTGGGATTTATACTTTCAACCTAATCTAGCTCCACCCGATAATTAATTAATTAATTAATTATAATCTATTAAAATATATATATATATATTTTTGGGGGATTTAAATTTTATTTTTGTTGATTTTATTAAAACGCACTTTTGTGGTAAGAAATATAATGATGTCAATATATTTATTTAAGAAATATAATGTGTGATTGAATTTAATTATAGAATATTTTTTCAAAAAAATTAACCTATGACCCGATGAGTGAGCTTGGCAATTATAATTATTTTTTAGGCTGGGCTCGAGCAAATATGGTGGCCCAATGTTAGTGTCGGCCAAGTTTGAACAAATACAAAATTCTTTATTATGTAGTATTGACTTGACCTGACGAATACTCACCCCTAATAGCCCTCTTTTGTGTCACGATCCGACTTGGCTCGATCAATCAAACTCTTTATGAGACTCGAGGACAATCACGACGATCTCATGAAAGAACCCGAAATCAATATATTATAATTGTTGGATCCTACATTATTATGTACCATTATTGGGTGTGCAATTTTATTTAGTGAAATCTTATGTTATATATAAAGAGAATTTTTCACATTTTTTTTCTAGTTTTTAAATGAAATTGTTCATAATTGGAGAGAGGTTTTAGTCAAAATTAATATGAGAAATAAACAATAATAAATAAATAAATTGTAGATTCAAGATCATAGTGCAATTTCACATGATTTTGCAACTACGACCATAACCACTATATGTTTTACAAAATTTTAGATGTTAGTGCAATTTAATCAGGTTGTTTGGCCAAATTGGAGTCATATGATCTGAATTGAGATCCTGATAACCATGATGTAATTCTTACAACATTTGTAATTAATTTTAACAACCCAACTGATTTTATTATTATTATTAAGTATGCTTGTGGAATATGAAAGTTGAAGCTTATGTAAAAATGGCAACTTGGTGTATCAGGCTACATCTAAAGCAGGAGGTTATGAGGAAGATAATACATACACAATCTTATTTTCATTTCTAGAAAGGCTGTGTGTGTGACTTAAACTTGCACCTCGAGGATGCTAACAGTAAACCATGCCAAGCCACCTTTTCGATTGAAATATTTGTAGTAAGGTCAAATTCTAAATTTTACCAACAAAAAAAAAAATCAAATAAAAAAAACCATTCTTAGATTAATATTTATTGATAAAAATTACAGAAATGAAGACCTGCACAAATATGATAAAGGTGCACGTAGGGAGCTCCTAATTACACGAAGTTAATTTCTGTTTACACCCATAGAGTACTAGTGTTATAGTCCATACAAAAAGGGTGTAATCAGAAATTTAATTAGTGTAAATAGAAGCTCTCAGTGCACTTATTTGTTTTCAAACACAAAAACCAAAAGCCAATCTCAAGAAATCAACAAAGGAATCATAAGATAGCTAAGTTATATAGCTTTTTCAACATTTTCATGGCTTCGGAAACCTTGCCTTGATCTTCTTGACAGTATCAATGTCAGTCTTGAATGCCTTTGCAAGTATTTCATCATCAATGTCAGTACCAAACACCGACACTGGTACTGAAACTATGCCAGCACTTGCACTTCCAAAAGCAGATATCGCCAAGGCTGACTTATTGTGGTTTCGGTTATACTGAAATACTGAAAGTGAATAAGCCCTTTTGGGAACACAAACATGTCCCCAATTTGGAGTGTTTGGTTATAAAGCACGTTTTTAGTGTCGACAAAGCCCACTTCAAGTGTCCCATCAACGAGGAAAAGAAGCTCAGCAGCACGAGGGTGCGTATGAGGAGGGTTAATAGACCCTGCAGGGTAAAAGAGCACCGCGTAGGACACGCTTTGACCGTTTAGAGCAGGGAACTCTGCCATACTATCTTTTGTCACCGTGAAATTTGCAGGGTATTTGTCAAAAACACCTCTCATTCCAGTGTACCATCAACATGGCTTACATTTTGAGGGACAATGAAGTCTGAAAGAATGTCAGGGTCGCCTGCCAATGTTGTCTTAAGGGCGGTTAAGGCAAAAGCCAGAAGTAAAAAGGGAATGAGTCTAGGGAAGTTTTGAGCCATTGTTGATATGGTGAAAGAATAATGTTTTTAAGTGATATTCGGTTGGTGAGAAAATTGTTGTGAATGGATATAAGGTTTAAGCATGCATTTATAGGCGTTTCGTGGAGGGTGGTGTTGAAATTCACTATGTTTGCTTTGTGTTTTCTTCTATATTGGCTGAGTTGATGAGGCCATGTACAAAATATAGGAGCTGTAAACAGCTAGCTGTCAATGATGGTAGAGTTTACGATTGATCAAGCATATAAAATATGGTTGAGAAAATTTAAAATGTGATCAAGCATATACAACATATTTGAGAATGAATATTTTAAAACGTTTTTTGGACTTCACAAAGAGGATTTCGTTATCTGTACTTTGTTTTCTTTTTTGATTATTTTCATTCTTCAACCAATCATGAAAATTAGACATTATGGAAGGTAATAAAAACTTGGGCAAATTAAACGTTCTCATTTAAACTATCACTTAGTATCACTTCACTTAACAAAAAAAATTTTGGATAAATTATGCAAATGATCCTTATAGTTTACACAACGCGTCAATTTAGTTCTTGTTATTTTAATTTGTTCGATTTTGCCTTTTAATTTAACGAATTGTGTCATATTAGTCCAATAAATGACCACTGTTAGGTTTGGTGAATGAAAACTCAAATGATATGTCAATTTGGCCATGTAGTTTACACTATGTGTCAATTTGGTCCTTATCAAAATCGAGCAAATTAAAACAATAAGAACCAAATTGACACATCATGTAAACTACGAAGACTAAATTGACATATCGTTTGAGCATGTGACAACTTTCTATCCACCAAACCTAACGGCCGTTATTTATTGGACCAATTAATATGACACAATCCGTTAAATTAAGGGACAAAATCAAGTAAATTAAAACAACATGAACCAAATTGAAACTACATGAACCATTTACATAATTTATCCAAAAATTTACATTTTGCTACCTTGAACAATTAATTTATGACCTTTCAAACAATGGCGAAGTCAAGATTTTGAAGGGGGCACTATTGCGTTGAAATCTTAACAAAAATCACAATCCAACTTAACACAAGTTTTGTGGTAAGAATAAAAATTACTAGAATGTAAAAGTTATATTTTCGTATAAGATCGAGTTAACCAATCATAATCAATTTTTTTTTTTAATTTAATTTTATATAGAACAATCCCATAGTTCAAAAAATAATCACACGCCTCATTAAATATAAAAAAACAAAATTATATCAAGTTACACACATAAAAAAGAGATGTAGACAGGAATAGAAGAGAGAGAGAGAGAGATTGCTATATATCACTTGTTTTTCTTTGCAACTTTAAATCATTAAATTCCATGGTAATATATTATTAGTTGCCATGGATTATGTAATAATTATCTCTAAACAAATAAACTAATTATAAGTATTCATATTAGAAGTAATATAAAATAGACACAAAAATCGGTGACTCATAACATTTTTCTACTATAAAATTTATATTAAAAAAATTAGCATAATTAAACATTTAAAATGAAAAATTAAACAATTTTTTTGGAAAAAAAAGTGTAAAGGATATAAATTTTAAGAATATAATTGAAAGGATTAAATTATTTTTTTTATTAGGGGTAAAAGTATAATTTCTAAAATTTGAGGGGGGCTCCAAATGATTTTGCAACTACGATCATTACAAGTTTTACAAAATTTTAGATGTGAGCGCGATTTCGTCAAATTGTTTGGCCAAACTGGAGTTATAGTATCCAAATTGGGATCCTCACAACCATAATGTAATTCTTACAACATTTGTAATTAATCTTAACAATCCAATTGGTAATTTTTTATTTGTTTATTCTTGTGGGATGTGAAAATTGAAGCTTCTGTAAAAATGACAATTTGGTGCATGAGCCTACATCTAAAGTAAGTTATGAGAAAGACAATATGTACACAATCTTATTTTCATTTCTACAAAGGTTGTCTTCATGACTGAAAGTTACGCTTCGAGAATGCTAATAGAAAACCGTGCCAAGCCATCTTTTCAATTGAAATATTTATACCCAAAAAAAAATTGAAGTAAAAAGAACAATTCTTAGATTGATACTTATTGATACCTACACAAACGTGAAAAAGGTGCACTTATGGAGCTCCAAATTACACCCCGTTAATTTCTTTTTATACTCATAGAGTACAAGTGTTATAATCCATAAAAAAAAGAAGAAAAAAAAAAAAAAAGGGTGTAATCAGAAATTTAATTGGTGTAAATAGAAGCTCTCAGTGCACTTATTTGTTTTCAAACACAAAAACCAAAAGCCAATCTCAAGAAATCAACAAAGGAATCATAAAATAGCTAAGTTATATAGCTTTTCAACATCTTCATGGCTTGGGAAACCCTGCCTTAATCTTCTTGACAGTATCAATGTCAGTCTTGAATGCCTTTGCAAGTATTTCATCATCAATGTCAGTACCAAACACAGACACTGGCACTGAAACTGTCCCAGCACTTGCACTTCCAAAAGCAGATATCGCCAAGGCTGACTTATTGTGGTTTCGATTATACTGAAAGTGAACAAGCCCTTTTGGGAACACAAACATATCCCCAATTTGGAGCGTTTGGTTATAAAGAACATTTTTAGTGTCGACAAAGCCCACCTCAAGAGTCCCATCAACGAGGAAAAGAAGCTCAGCAGCACGAGGGTGAGTGTGAGGAGGGTTAACGGAACCTGCAGGGTAAAAGAGCACCGCGTAGGACACGCTTTGACCATTTAGAGCAGGGAACTCTGCCATGCTAGCTTTTATCACCGTGAAGTTTGTGGGGTATTTGTCAAAAACGCCCCTCATTCCAGTGTAGGTGAAGAATTTTCCATCAATATCACTTACATTTTGAGGGACAATGAAGTCTGAAAGAATATCAGGGTCACCTGCAGATATTGTCTTAAAGGCGGTCAAGACAAAAGCCAGAAGAAGAAATGGAATGAGTCTAGTGAAGTTTTGGGCCATAGTTGATAAGGTGAAAGATTAATTGTTTTGTAAGTAATGTTTGGTTGGTGTAAGCATGCATTTATAGGTGTTTCTTGGTGGGGTAGTGTTGAAATTCACTATGTTTGCATTGTGTTTTCTTCTATCTTGGCTGAGTTGATGAGGCCATGTACAAAATATAGGAGCTGTAAACAGCTAGCTGTCAATTATGGTAGAGTTTATGATTGATCAAGCACATAAAATATGGTTGAGAAAATTTAAAATTAGATCAAGCATATATAACATGTTTGAGAATGAATATTTTAAAACCTTCTTTGGACTTCACAAAGAGGATTTCATTATTTGCACTTTGTCAAATATCCACATTCTTTTTTTCTTTTCTTTTTTTGGTTATTTTTATTCTTCTACCAATTGTGAGAATCAAACCGTTATAAAATGTAGCAAAAACTTTGGCAAATTACATTTTCATCCCTTAAAGTATTACTCAATATCACTTTACTCTCTCAACTAAAAAAATGTTACATTTCGCCACCTTGAGCTATCAATTTGTATCAATGTGAACTTTCTGTTACAGATCCGTTACATAAATAGATGAAAATTTGAAAATTAACTTGCCAGAACATCTCAAATATTAGGCAATATTACCTAAAATGACCTTATTATTCTCATTCCCTTTCTTTTCTTTCTCTCATTCCCTCCTTTTACCTACTGACGTCTATACAATGGCTGCTATTGTTGTTGTCATCGATAGAAGAAAAGAAGGCCATCTTAGGCTTTGCATAATATATGAGATATCATGTACAAGGTTCATGTTAATTTTCTATCTATTTATATAATAGATCATTGTCAAAAGATTCATATTAATACAAATCGATATTCAAGATGGTAAAGTGTAATATTTTTTAATTAAGAAAATAAAATAATATTGAATAATAGCTTTTTTTTAAAAAAAAAGTAAAGTGTAATTAAAACATAAAAATTTCATACTTCATAGGACATCATAACTTATGAATTCATTAATTAATAAACAATTTTGACTTGGCAAAGGTGTTGTCTGGCTGCCAAGGACGGACCTATGTGGAGATTGTAAGGGGTCGTGGCCCCTCCGCTTTTGGCTTGACTATTTATGTATTCTTTTTTTCTTTTTATCCTGCTATTTCCTATGCGATGTGTATTGGCCCCCAACTCTTCTTTATTCTATTTTTTTAGGTCAAGTTTAGGAAGATTAAATAAGTGTACTTTTTGACTTTTTATAAAATATGGGTTGGGTTTGGATTGGATTTGAAGTGATTTGTTAGAGAGGTGATGTGATTTAAATAAGATGATGTGAATAGAAGAAAAGAAGGCCATCTTAGGCTTTGCATAATATATGAGATATCATGTACAAGGTTCATGTTAATTTTCTATCTATTTATATAATAGATCATTGTCAAAAGGTTCATATTAATACAAATCGAGATTCAAGATGGTAAAGTGTAATATTTTTTAATTAAGAAAATAAAATAATATTGAATAATAGCTTTTTTTTTAAAAAGTAAAGTGTAATTAAAACATAAAAACTTCATACTTCATAGGACATCATAACTTATGAATTCATTAATTAATAAACAATTTTGACTTGGTAAAGGTGTTGTCTGGCTGCCAGGGACGGACCTATGTGGAGACTGTCAAGGGTCGTGGCCGCTCCGCTTTTGGCTTGACTACTTATGTATTCTTTTTTTCTTTTTTTACTGCTATTTCCTATGCGATGTGTATTGGCCCCCAACTCTTCTTTATTCTATTTTTTTAGGTCAAGTTTAGGAAGATTAAATAAGTGTACTTTTTGACTTTTTATAAAATATGGGTTGGGTTTGGATTGGATTTGAAGTGATTTGTTAGAGAGGTGATGTGATTTAAATAAGATGATGTGATTTAAATAGGATAGTGACTTTTTGAATTTTTGAATTTTTTAAGAGTTGTCAAACTTGGCCTTACTTTAAAGTAATTCATGTGCACTTCTCTTTCTTTTGTCTTTGTAATTTTATTTATTCTTATATTTTTATTTTTCTCTCTTCTTTTAATTTTAAGTTTTGTTTTTTCTTTTTTCTTTTGGACTTGTCTTTTGATTGCAAATTACATGTTAATTTTTTTTTTTGGTCACAAATTCAACCATATAATGCCCAATTCATTGTTATATAATTGTGAATAAATTGTGAATCTCTAACATTACTCATATTTTTATTTAAGTTTTGGCCCTCCGGAAGACAAAAGTCTGATTCCATCCCTGCTGGCTACAAATAATGTTGGATAAAAACAGAATTAATTATTGGATAAAAACATGATGAAATTGTGACCTATACACTTATTATAATAGTAGGGAAAAAGTCAATTTTATATAAGCTGGTAAAAGGGTGTCTAAAACAACCAATTCTCTTTAACAAATTAGAACAAGAAAATTTATATTCGAATATCTTCAACAATATTGTCATCTTTAAGAATGTTGTCTTTGTCACTAGTAAAATGGATTTGTTGTTAAGACAGTTCCTAAATACAATTCCTAGGGATGCCACTCAAAATGCCTGCACAAATGATACCATTACTGATTTTTTTTTTTTTCTTTTCTTTTTTTCTTTTATGATTTATAGTTGAGTAGAACTTAAAAGTGTAGAGTTTTTTTGAAAATTAAAAAAAAAAATCAATAGAAAAGTCACTCAAAAAGCCAATCATAAATACAACTTTAATAGTGTCATATATATCCAAAATTGCCCGTGTAACCTTTCAATATGAGACCAGTCGTTACACCCCTTTTTATATGTTGTTTAAAACAAATGGCGTACTTAGGGGTGTGCATAATACCGCCGAAACCGTCAAAACCGCACCGAACCGCACCGTCAAGGCAAATTCGCTATTATTTGTCAATCGAACCGCCGGTTTTTATAAGAAAAATAGCAAATTCTAGTGACACTTTTATCAATCCGCCGGTTTCTATTTTTCTTCCAAACCGCACCGACCCGCACCACTATTAAATCATGTTTTAAATCATGTTTTGTAAGATTCTAAAAATTCTTTTTTACTTAAGTTTGCTTGTTGTTCTATACCTTAGAATATGGTATTACATTACTGTTCGAGGAGAATTCAAGATGTCAGTAATCCAAAATAAAATTGGATTCCAATTCACTTTTCAATCTAAATACTTTTCAACAGTAAACATTTTCAATATATTGTAAACCCTGAATTATATTAATTTTATGTATTGTATTTGATCATTATAACTTCCACAGATGCTTGTAATGAACTGATGGCATAGTCGTTGATATTATCATGTTGTTGCTACACTTGCTGCATTAGAAGAAAGCTTCGCAAGATGCTTAACATCACGGTATCTCTCGTCCTTTTTTTACTCTTTGATTTAAAATCCGCCAGAACCGCCAAGGCAAATCCGCCATTATTTGCCAACCGAACCGCCGGTTTTTGAAAAGGAAAATGACAAATTCTAGTGACACTTTTATCAATCCGCCACCCGCCATACGGTTTCTATTTTTCTCTCAAACCGCACCGACCCGCACCGCGCACACCCCTAGGCGTACTAGTGTTTCCCATCCAAAATTTGTTTGTTACAGGACTACCTCTCTTTAGTTACTCTAAAAAATGTTCAAAATTTGAAATAGGGTATGGCTTCTGTCCAATCCGGGATCGGACTGGACCGTGTTGTTGGGCCCGTGGGGGTCCACCACGGGTCCCGTTTTGATAATCTAAACCGTTCAATGTGTAGAACTCGTCGAGTACTATATGGCCCAACAGCACGGTCCAGTCCGATCCCGGACTGGACAGAAGCCATACCCTTTGAAATATATGGATCAGATTCCTGAAATATATGGATCAGATTCATTTTGGATGTGGCTCATAAACACCAAGTTTAAATGTAGACCATAGATTCAAATTCTGGACATTTTTTCTGCGTACATAGCATTTTCATAGTTTCTAAGGTGGTTGATGATGCTCTATTGCAGCAATCAAGGGAAGACCTTGTAATTCACATTCCTACTTTGGTCTAGAACTAAAATAATGTCTTCAATGGCTACTCACCATTGTTCCTACCTCTGCTGCCTATCCAACTTGAAGACTCTTATTTATGGTGGAGTGCTTCGAGTAGGATTCGATCCCATCCCAGCAATCAAACTCCCCAACTCACCTGCCTCTGAAGCTTGAATGCCTTCTAGAAGAGGCTATTAAGGAATCGAAAAGTTTGAAGTGGGATGTGAAATGTGATTGGAGATGAATGGTGGTTATGAAAACGATTCAAGATCATCTCACATCTAGCCCGGCTGCTGAGGCAGAAGAGAACAAGAGATGAACTTTGTTTCATTGAAAAATCAAAGCGACTAACAATCGTTTTAGGTGGTGTCTTAAAACTGCGACAAAGCTAGTATAATTCTACTATGAGTACTAAATTTTCTACACCTGTAAATGATCAGGCTGAATGAGAACTAACACAGAACAAATCAATTCACACCAGACTCATAGAACTTTGACAGATTTCTAGAAAACCCTATGGATTGTGAAATAGATAGATTCCAGTGTTTTCGATTATTGTTTGTTAGAGGGACCTCTCTGGGGCTGTTCTGTTGATGCAATTACACATTTAGTAATCTACTTCGCAAAAGAACATGCAAAATTGATAGGTGTGTGCACTGCATATAGTTATTGTTCAACTATGAAGTCTACGGTGATGTCTAGATCGTGAGAAATTATTCAATGCTCCTAGAGCAAGTCTAGGTAGTGTTCCAAATGAGGAGTTATTGGTCTAAATCATGGGATCAATCACTTTTGTGTTAGAGTTTTAGGAGGCAAAGTGTAAATTGTCTAAATTGTAAATGGAATAGAGCATTACTCCAGGAGCATTGAATAATTTCTCCCAGATCGCTGCTTGTTGTTCATTGTTTCATGAATCGGTCCCAAAAAGCTAATTATAGGTTCTCTCCATCAGAATAATAGGACCGTTATGCTCATTACTATGCGCCAAAACCAGTAGAAGTAAAACTTTGGTAGATGGGTAAAACAGATTCAACTGAACAGGGGTGTGAATGAGACAGGGTAACAGCATCAATGGGGTACTCAAGAGAAATCAATTTGGTGATTTGCTTTCCTTTCCAAACACACAAATTTTCATTATTCACAACTACCTGGTTTAACCTTGCCAACTCGAAACTGTTTTTGATGTCACGTGGCTTGAAATTTTCTCATGAAAATCTTAGAAATTCTCACTAAGAAAATTGGTAAGCCGTCACAATCAAACACCTTAAACAAATCTAAAACCCTGGCTTTATCCACAACAACCTAGAAAGCAAGAGTGCACCTTACCTTTTCCCTAAAATAGCAGTACAAATTTATAGAAATCAAGAAGACACAATCACTGACACTTGTAAATGAGATAATATAAGAAATCAGAACACAATTATATATCATTAGTAAGCTCTAAAAGAAATGCATTTTTGGATTAATGTTGTGTTAAGGCCTGGTTTGAAATGTTCTAAATAAGTGTACTTTTTGACTTTTTATGAAATATGAGTTGGGTTTGATTTGGGTTGGTTTGAAGTGATATGATAGAGAAGTGATGTGACTTAAATTAGATGATGTGACTTAAATAAAATAGTGACTTTTTAACTTTTTAACTTTTTTAATACATGACAAACAAGGCCTAAACCTAAATCTCCATATGCTTGACACAAACAGTGTCCCCCACCAACACAATTTCTATACATCATTAACTTACTCGAAAATCAAAACTTTTCTTCTAATATTTACTTGCTAATCTCCTAATAAAGAACAGTACTTTACAGTTTGGCTAGTCAATTCAAGGAATCGTTCAATATACAATTGTGTGCGGACATTTACATGGGATAGTTGAAGTTTTGATACCCCATTGAGCCTCCTTGATCGGGGAAATGAGACGACAAAGGAATTGGATGGATATCTGGAGCGGTGGTGATATCGTGGATGCTTGACCTTTTCCTATCCTTCTTCACCAAGTTCTGGCGAAGAAAGAATTTTTGAGCGTGGCTAGCCACTTGCGTAGGTGTTCGAGTCACCACCATGTTTCTTGAAATGCTCCTCCAGTCTCCTTTGCCGTAAGTCTGGAGACCAACTAGAAATAGCCTGCGACAAGCACGAAAACAAGTCAATTTTCCAAAACTAGAAAATCAACCTATAGATCACTGCTGCGTGAGCAGTAGTATATGATGCGCATAGAGATTTTTTAATGTAATCATATTCGTAGTAAAATATGTGATGTGTATCAAGAACATAAACAATGTTTTAGCATTAAAGTTTTGCTGCATTTGGTTAATTAGAATCCCAAATGTGTATAGAAAGTGTTCTGTTTCCAATTGCGTAAAACATCAAATCCTTGATCTGAAGATGTGAAACCTATGAAGCACGGTATAGGTACGGGTACGAGTACTGGTACAATACGGGTACGTAAAATTCAAAAAAAGTAAGATACAGGTACGGTTTGATACGCTTGTAAAAAAATATTTATTTTTAATTTAGAGTAATGTAAAAATTAATTAAATGATTTAATTTGTTAAGATCCAACCTATAATTAAATTATAGGTTTGGTATATATTAGGTACATTGGGATACGAGAAAAATTAAAAAGAAAAAATTTAGATACGTATTTCGTGTGTAGAAGTACCATACAAGGTATCATTTACCGGTAAGTACCCGATACGACTACAGCATTTTCGAAGTAGCCATCCATCATGGTGTGAAACTCTGTTTCCCCTGTTTGGGAACTGAGAAAATGCACGCGATCCAAATAAATTAATGACATGTTTGGTATTGGTTGTAGGTATGCAGTTTCTGAACCCTGGTTCTAAAACCAGAAGGCACATAAATTTCTCGGGAAAATTCTGAATTATGTCACATACTTTTTGCCAAGAAAATTATCTGCTCTGTTTTTGTTTTCTTTGTTACAGAGAGAGAGAGAGAGAGGAAAAAAAAAAAAAAACCTTCTAAAATTGAAAACAACACAAATTCTAAGAGAGCCCATCTGAATGCAATCAATATATGTAAACAAAAAAACATACTTACATAATACAATATACATATAAAAGAAAAAAGAAAAAAAAAAAAACAGAATCTTTAAATTTCGTTTTCTTCTACAATTCCCTCGTTTTCTCAGCAACCAAACCAACCTTACTTTTTCTTAAACCCAAAGCCAATCAGCATATTCGTCATCATCCAATTTTGGGTAGTTCTTAATAAAACACAAAATAAAAAAAAAACAAAAAAAAAAAAACCAATTCAATCAGGAAACTCGTATACATAACTAGAAGCTCTGTTTGGGCCCCAAGAAAACACTCTGTTTGGTAGCCAAGAAAATATTCTAAATAACCCAGAAAATGTACCTGTGTTCTTCTTCTGTCCATGGAGTTCCTTTCTTCCTCTCGACCTCGCCGTGCTTCGTCTTCGCCGCCGACCCAAACGAGATCTGACTCGCCTTCGACTCGGTCTCCCACCCGAGCGACGACTCGTCAGAGTAACTCGGCAACTCGACTCGGCCCGACTCAATCTCGTTCACGTCGTGAACCAGCGCTTCGTAGTGGGCCCTCACCTCCTCCGGCGACTTCCCAGGAATTTGATCGGCGATTTTCTCCCACCGATCAGCCACCTCCTCGGGGAACAAAACTAGTGCGTCTTCGAAGACCTTGTCCTCGTGCCTCGTCCACGTCGACGGAATCGCCGAGGAATTGCAATTCATCGACCACTGATAATCATTAGGATCGCCAAACATCGTTGAATAGAATGAATCTTTGTTTATTTAATTATTTATTTTTGGGTTCTCTCTAGATTTTCTCCCTCTAAAAAGTTGGGTTTAGTTTAGTGAGGAGGTTTTGGGTATGAGAGAGAGCGAGTGATGAGCTGGATATATAAGGAGGTGGAGTAATTATTAGGTGCTCTTGAAATATAATTATGAAATATTTTGATAATATTGGTAAAAAATTAATTTTTTAATTTTTTTAGTTAAAAAAGTCGATTTTTTTTTTGGTTAAAAAACTCGACTTTTTTATCCAAAAGAATCTAATTTTTTGTCAAAAAAATTAAAAAGTCAAAAAATTAATTTTTTATCAACTTCTCAAAACACATATTTTTAAGTGTTGTAATTGATAAAAAAATATATAATTTATAATTTTGTGCTAATGATTAAGGAATATAAAAAAATACAATATAAATAGATGATGCTTCAAAAACACTAAGGTGCTGTTAAAAAACTCGACTTTTTTATCCAAAAGAATCTAATTTTTTGTCAAAAAAATTAAAAAGTTAAAAATTAATTTTTTATCAACTTCTCAAAACACATATTTTTAAGTGTTGTAATTGATAAAAAAATATATAATTTATAATTTTGTGCTAATGATTAAGGAATATAAAAAAATACAATATAAATAGATGATGCTTCAAAAACACTGCTGTTTGGTAACACTTACGTTTTCAGTTTTCTGTTTATATTTACAAAAATTTTAAAAACTCAAATAAAAACTTGTTTGGTAAAATTTTTGATTTATAAATAAGTGGTCTCAGTTTATAAATTTGGCAAAAAAAAGAAAACACAGAAAATGTGTTTTCATTTTGAGTTTTCAGTTTTTTTTTTTTACCACCCAACACTAATCACCACCCGTCACCATTTTCCACTACCATCTTCCGCCACCACCACCCACCACCCACTCCCACCATCACCACCACCTATCACCACCACTCACCACTCACCTGCCACCACCCGCCACCTACCTATCACCCACTCGCCACCACCATCCACCCTTCGCCGCCACCACCACCACCACCACCACCCGCCACCTAAATTTTTTTATTCCTTTATAATTTTTAACCTAACATGAAAACTAAACGACATTTTATTTTATTTAACTAAAATAATTTATTTTTGCCTTCTGTAACTATTTAGTCTCATCCCAAACGAGCACTGTATTGCAGCTGCTACTTACCAGTCAAACCACACTCTGTCCACGTGTCCGATGGCGGCTGCTGGGTCATTCTCACAACCACCTTAGTGGGTGGAGTTCCCCACTCTCAACATTTCCTTTTTTTAGTTTTTTTTAATCTTTATATTGTGTTTGAATAAATTTTAATAAACATACAAAAATTAAAAAAAATAATAATAAATTATTATATTTTATTTACATTTGATTTTTTTAAAAAAAAATATCTAAATTTATGATTGAAATAGAAATTTTAAAATGAAAAAGACGATGAATTAAGAATTTATTAGTCCCATAAACAAAGACCATAAGTAAAGTCTCTGCAAATTAAAATTTGCTAGACAAATAATTAAGTATATATATACCCAATGGTGTGGTTCTATTGAAATTTATTATTTAAATCAAAGTATTTAATAAAAAGGAGAGAGGTTAAGGAAACTAACACTCTTATTAATAATTTTCGTAGCAAATTCACATATTTTGTGTGGCGTACATTTTTCATCTTCAGATTTTAAAGTTTCGTTTAGTTTTAGATTTTTGACTAAAAAAATATTAAAAAAATTAATTATATAAATTAATAAAATAAAATATTATATTCAAATTATAATCATTATAATTTTTTTCTTCTAACAGTTAAAAAAAATCAAAAATATCAAACTAAACAAGGCTAAAAAAAATTCCAACATAAAAAATTCAATTAAAAAAAGTCAATGCGGAAGGCAGGAGGTGGGGTGATGAGTTGTTTGTTTTTTTCTGGTTTGAAAAAGCATTTTTATTTTGTTTTTGTTTGTTTTTGTTATTTTGATTTTTTTTACTTTATTTAGTATAAATCAATTGGAGCACGTTTTTGCTTTTATTGGAAATACGGCACTCCGCGAAGGGCCAGGCTCTTTTTTTTAGTATTTTTCAAATAAACTGTTTCCTTTTTTTATTATTTTGATTTACCCATCATAGGAACACTTTTGTTCACTACTTTCTTAAAAGGTTCTGACTTTGGTCCAGTCCATCATCGAACTAGATCGTATTGTTGGATCTGTAAAGATTCACTATGGATCTCGTTTTGAAAATCTGAATCGTTCAATGTGTAGAACTCGTCGAGTACTATATGTTTATAAAAAATCATGTTGATCGGATATCGATAGCTATGTGATCAAAATAGTTTTTTATCAACCGTTAATTTATTCACCGTCCATTTTTTTATACAAAATTGATTTGATCACATAGCTATCGATATTCGATCAATGTGATTTTTCACAGGCATAGAGTACTCGACGAGTTCTACACATTGAACGGTTCAAATTTTCAAAACGGGACCCGTGGTGGGCCCCCATAGGCCCAACAGCACAGTCCAGTCCGATGGCGGACTGGACCAAAGCGAGACCCTTCTTAAAAAGTCAATTTAATTTACTATTTTTCAAATCTTCAAATAAAGTGTTTATGTTTTTTAATTTACCAAACATAGGAACACTTCTGTTTACTACTGTTTTAAAAAGTTAGTTTTAAAATGAAAAATAATGACTTGTTTCTCAGCAAATTTGGAGGGTAATTTATAGAAGGTTAATTACATTTAAATTCTTTCGACTATTATTCATTCATCATTTATGAATTTGCACATATTGTTCCTCTCAACTATAAAAATTCTGCAAATACATTCTATTTAGAGGCAGACTAAGGAGGATGAAAGTAATATATTTTTATAATTAAGAGTATCAAAATATGTGAATTCATAGATGAGAGAAATAAAATAATATTCGTTAATGATTAATATAGTCTCGGTGTAATTAACCCTTTATGAAATTCAAACTTTTCCCCTGTTGTAAGACAAAATAAAACCCTTAATTTTGTGAAGTATAATCTAATGAAAAATTAAGGCATGTGGTGAGACATTTTGCTAATTTCTACCTAATTTTAAGCCCCGGTTTGGTTTTCATCTCAGATTAAAAAAATTACAAAAAGACAAAAAAATAAATCAAAAGTCACAAAAGGACAAAAAAAATTTGCTATTCCAAATCCAAAAGGCCAAACAAGAAAATCAAACATATAAAAAAATCTCAAGCTAAAAAAGTCAAAAAAATCAAAAAGTCAACTAAAAAAGTCATTACCAAACAACCCCTAAGTGTTAAATTCAATTACTAAAATATTATTTCAATGTATTTCTATTAGATAAAACCTCGCAGCATTTTCATTTTCAAATTGGTTGCCTGTTTTTTAGTTTGAATTTTTTATAACTTTTTTTCAAAAAATTATTTTCATTTGAATTTTTTTTTCAAATAACGGATACTGTGTATTCGAATCACTTGTCTAAAAAAAATAAACGGTTAAAAAATTAATAGTTCATAAGAAAGTGATCCGAATGCATAATATTTGTTATCCGATTGATATGATTTTTTACAGAAATAATAAACCCAACAACTCTTGAAACATGAACAGTTTGAATTATAAAAAAATGAGCCCAAAATCGACTCAATGGGCCGGATTGGACCCTCCAGTCCAGATGGTAAAAAAAAAAAAAGCCACTGCCTTTTTTTTTTTCAATCAAGAAACCATCAATCAATTGTTTTTCATTTTTTTTCCCCCTTTTTTGGTTTAAACCTTCTATTTGGTTTGATTTTTAAATATGTTTTCTAAATTTTTTTGAAAAAAAAAAATTATTTATTTATTTAAAAAATAAGAAATAAAAATTTTCATTGTTTTTGTATAATTTTACATTTTTTTACATGAAATATTATTCTATTTTTTTAATCAAATTCAATGTGTTTGGTTTGAGTTTTCTGGATTAAGTTTTTTGAAAATTTAGTTTTTTGGTTTTCGTATTCTTTTGTTTTTAGTGAATATTTTTTTAATTTTAAACATTTTTTTTACTTTTTTAGATGCACCTTAATTAGATGTATCTAAAAAGTAAAAAATTTAAGAAAAAATATTTTTAAAAATTAATAAATACAAAAAAATACAAAAAATATACTGAATTCTTCAATTTTTTTGTATTTTTGGTATTTAGTAAATTTTTTTTTTACAATTTTTTTACTTTTTAGGTATATTTATGTTAGGTGTGTCTAAAAAGTAAAAAATTGCTTGAAATATTAAAAAAAATCAGTAAAAATAAAAAAAATACGAAAAATAAGAAAGTAGAATTTTCTAAAAAGTATTTTTTGAAAAATGAAAACAAGCAAATTGATTATTTTTTATTTTTTCAAAAAAATCAAAAATTAATTTTTTTTTTTTGAACTGGAAAAAAGGATGTTCTGAGGTGTCATCACTACATCCGTAGGCCCAGGCCCCGGGGTAGCCGATTGCCAGCCTGATTTAACCCAATCCATAGGAAGGGACTCACCACTGAAGCACCGGTGAAGCTCATCAACCGCCTCAGTTACGAACAAATTTCAATCAGAGTACAACATGAGATCGTCGAAACCAGCCTCTGAAAAATTTAAGATTTTTCACATCCCACAAGAGTTGAACCTAGCCTCCACGGCCACCACCCTCGGTGGTAATCAAAAATTATTTGAAACAGAGATTTTTGTTTATAAAGGTCTGGTGGTGACATATATGAGGCTGTCAGCTTAAAGTCTAAATTCTTTTCGTAGAGTGATTTTTGAGTAATTCTTAATATAGATAAGATTAGGAATGAACTTAAAATTTTCATAGAGATGGCCAAAAATATATATACTAATAAATATTTTAAATAAAAAATATGAATTGTAATATCAATTTTCTACCGATATATATATATATATATGAAAAGTAAAAATAAGGTGAAAATATATATAAATAAGTATTTTTTTTATTCACATTAAAAAATATAACACTTATAAAACAATCTATTTAATAGTGAAGTATCTTGAGTTGTGCTTAACGCTCTTTCATGTCATTAAAAGTATCTATAACAGAATCAATTTTAAAATCTTGTATAACGCCTTCC